TAACAGTCTCAAGACCTGCTCCCGTCTCCTCCCCCGGGGCCACCCAGTCAGAGTCAAGGCCTTCTCGGATCCGAGCGACTTTGTCATACAGATATTGAGCAAAGTCCTCGGCCCTCCCCTCCAGGGGATCCTCCCCCCCCCTCAACTGAAGGAGAGAGCGGGTCACCCTGAAGAGGGTGGCCGGGCGATTATCTGATGATGCAATGAGGGTGGAGTAGTAATTAGACCTAGCCACCCTCATCGCCACTAGGTAGGATCTAACCTGCATCCTTGCCTGTGCTCGATCGGATTCGATTCGGCTAGCCCTCCAACTGCTCTCTAGGCGTCTTTTCCGGCGTCTTTTGTTTATTTGGGAGTTCATCTAAAAAAAATGTTTGTTAAGCCTGAGCTGTCTTCAGTACTTTTGACTTTTTGCTTCAGAAATGCTGCAGTCGAGACGGTGGATCAAGAGCTCTTATTTGTTGGATCAGAGACAGGAAAGTTGTTAGCTGTGAGAGATCTTGTGAAAAAGGTAATTTTGTTTTCATGTCGAGTCTGTCTATTGGGCAGTTTTCTGTGCTGAATCAACTTGGTATGTTCATAAAGCAGAATAAATGCATCTTGAGGGATGCAGATGTTTTAGAAGAGGAAGGTAGAAACTGAATTAGATATATAATTCACTTGAAATACTAAGTGAGAATACTCTTTCTTCAAGGTACCTTCATATTGAAAAGAAGGAAGGAGGGAGAGGAGTGGAGAAAAGATGCAGGCCTCAAATTTACAACCAACCATTTTCATATCAATAAGTTATGATTATTTGTCTCATGGGATAGCAGCCTCTGAGCAAATCAGTGCAGAATTTTGGAATGAGCCTTCACTGTTCTTTCTAATCTTTTTCCTGCTGCTACTTGATGCCAGAATTAGAACATCCAGTTGAGACTGTGAGACACTTATCAAATCTCTGCTGGTTCTTGGAGATCACTGGGTAATGTTGGGCCACCCTTTTGAAGGATCTTGAGGCTGCATCACAAGAGGAAATGCTGAAATTCGTGTTGTTTGCTTATTTATGAAACAAATTTATAGGACCGCCCAGCTCACTGGTGATTCTGACTGGCTTATAACAAAAAAAAACCCCACAACATAAAAGCCCATAACTTCCTATTCTCAGAAACAGGAAGTCCCTGACTTTGTTGATGCAGGTAGTGCTCAACCACAATCGTCCCCAAAAATTTTGTTGCTAAGCGAAAGATTTCTGAGTTTTGCCCCCGTTTTACGATTTTTCCTGCCATCGTTAAGTGAATCATTGCAGTGGCTAAGTTAGTAACAACGGTTGTTAAGTGCATCTGGTTTCCTCATTGAATTTGCTTGTCAGAGGGTTATAAAAGGTGTTCACATGACCCTGGGACACTGCAACTGTCATAAACGTGAGTCAGTTGCCAAGCATCTGAATTTTGATCACACGACCATGGAAATGCTGCAACAGTCGGGT